AGCGTTGGGGCTGCTGCGGGCTCAGGGTTTCTTGGTTGACTCAGTACATCAGCAAGCAGAGGGCTGTGCTCAGCACTCGGAGAGCTTCCTTGCTTGCTTTTTTTTTTTCTTCACCCCCCCCCCCCCTCCTGTTTGTTTAACATACTGCGCTGGGCTGGTTCAGACCCACTGAAGTCATTAACCACTCAACTAAAATGCTGATGGATGAACCTGCTCAGGGAGAGCAGCCTTGGCGTGTTTAATGGCTGGCTGGAGCTGTGCACCCCGCTGCCTCCTTCCTTCCCTCTTCCCTGTCTCTGCAAACCAGTATCTACTGGGGCAGCTGTGTGGCTCTGCCTCCCTCCTGCCAGGGCAGCCTGTGGTGTGAAACCGGCTGGTACCTCAGTGTGGGTCAAGGTTTCCCTGCCCCTCTCTGGGAGGGACAGACAGTTGCAGCACCATGTCCACAGCTGTAAGATGTAGCAGTGGCAGAGCAGGGAAGGAGCCCAGGAGTCCTTGTTTGCATTAACTGCTGGTAGTGGTTCCCCTTGTCTCTGCTGGCTTCGATCACTGGAAAAAAAGTTAATTAGTGTGTCACTGTCTGTTCTCATCCCCATCCCCAGCCTGTTAACGGATGAGGCAGCGCTGTCAAAGCGATCCCCTAATGAAAAGCTGCTGGGTGGGAACCACAGCATTGCTGGGGCTGCCGAGTCTGGTTCTTGTGAGAAATGGTCAGAAAACTTCAATTCTGTGATGAGTATTTCTGTCCTGGAAATGGCAGATGGCAGGGACAGGGTAGGGCTTTCCATGGTGGTCCAGATGGACCAGGATGCTCTGGAGATGGGGAGGGTGAGCGGGCAGTGCCAGGCTCTCTGCCGGGCACAGCAGCCTGGCTGGTTTGCCAAGGGTTAACCACAGCTGGTGACTTTGAAGAGAGTAGGGTCAAGTGGGTGACAGAGGGGACAGCTCTGGAGGTGATCCAGCAAGGGAGGGCCTTGCACTTGGAGGTGCCCAGCTGGTCCTGGCCAGGGAAAGTCACGCAAACTCTGCCTGCTCAGGACAGTGTGCTGTGCCACACTGTCACCTGGATAGCAAAGGCGCCAAGGGGATGTCACCTGCCTCTTCTGCAAAGGTCCCAGCACCTTTCCCCTGTGTCCCTTACCCCATCTGTGCCTTCCTGGGGGCTCCTAGTGCCCCTGGACACACCAGGCAGCAGAAGCACAAACCACCCAGCTCCCAGAGGGACTCTCTTTAAATTTAAGAAGTCAGCATCTCCACCTCTAATACCAACTGCCTGCCTTCCCTGTGCCGGAGGGGAGAGGGTGCCTAATTAGTCTGGCATTAATTGGCAGCTGTGCAGGTGGCCTCCACACTGCCACAGGGCTGGGGCAGGAGCTCCACCATCTCCCAGCGCAGTGGGGAGGGATAAGGGGATATGCTACCCCTTGGTACAGCCTTGTCAGCAGCACCGGCCCCTGCCAGTGGGATGTGGGGCTCTCCTGCTGGACCCATAACCACTTGGATGTGCCCCTGCTGTCACCCAGTGCAGTCTGTGCCACTGATTACTGCGTTGTCTCTTGCAGTGGCTGCAAACTGGAAAGCGAGGCAGGACGTGTGTCCCCCCTTTAGGGAGCCTTTGTGGGTGTCGTGCCCTTCACTCCATCCCAGCTGCAGGGTTGGTGCACAGGGCTGGTGCTGGGACACGGTGTGGGGCAGGGTTGTGTTGGGGCTTTCCATGGTGTCCCCTCTGGGATGCTGGGCTGCTACTTGGTCCCTTCTGGGCTGGATATGGCCCCGGGAGCCCACACGGAGTCTCTGGAGCAGAGACCACAAGGACTCATCGCTTTCTGAAATGCCCACCCATGCAAACAGTTGCTGGGTGAGCCTTAGAGGAGAGGACAGGCTTTGCCTGCCCCTGCTCCCTGCCCAAGGATGCCATCTGCCCCACCTGTGGCAGCAAGAGATGTCCAGGTGTTGGCACCTGTGGGGTTTGCTTGACAGAGGCCAGAGCAAAAAGAGGGGAGCAGCAGATGAGGTGGCTGGGTGCAATGCTGAGGGTGCTGCACCCAGGGGTGATGGTTCCTGCAGGGACAGGCACTGCTGAGCTGGGACTCCTCACCCTACCGTGGGACGTGATGGTGTTTTCCTAATCAGACCTGGCACTGCCTGAGCCCTCGCCGGGGGCTGGATGGCCCCAGAGCTTTGACGGGGCTCTGGTTGCTCCATGGCTTGTCTTTGCCCACAGCAGTGACGGGGGGGACTGGTGGGAGCAGATGCTCCCCACACTTTGGCGGGGGTGGGGGTCAGACCTGTGAAGTGCTACCTCTGCAAAAGGCATGTCCCCCATCAGACACCCTGGGGCTGGCAGGACCATCACTGGGGGCAGGAAAACTGCTCTTGTTCTGTAGCAGCTGCTTCTCTGGCTGGCGGGAGGACAGAGCCCCAGCAGTGGGCTGGAAGGGAGCTGCCAGCCTAGCAGCTGTTTTGTTTTGCTAAACTCTGCCCAACATTATTATTTATTCTTTTTTTTTAAAGGCTTCTTCCTTCCCCTTTTCCTCCTGGCTTTTCTCTTTCTGGATGGCTGGCTCCTGTCTGCTTTCTTTCCCTCTTGCAACGTCTTGCATCAGGCTTGGAGCAGAAAGTGCAGCCATAAATGGCAACGTGCAGGGCCTGGGAGTTTAATCCAAGAAAATTTTCTTCCCCAGCTTTGCAGCCTGAGATCTTCCCTTTCCCTGGAGCTGGAGTGGGGCGCTCATTTGTCCCCATCCTGCCCATAGGTGCCAGGGCTGTCCCTATGACCAAGGACAAGGAGAGGAACACACCAGCCCCCCAGCCTCCTTGTGTCCTATCTGAGAAGGGAAACCCATTGCTCTGAGGGGAGGAAGTGGGGAGGAAATGGCCAGAAATGAGCTGAAAACCAGATGATGCTGTGCTGGGGAACCTGGCCTCCATCTCCTGTAGGGCTGGGAGAGGGTTCGCATGGTGGCAAAGCCATGAGGGGAGGGATTCTGGGGGGACAACACCAAGCTGCCTATGCCCAAATGTCCCTGGAGGTCTTGTCCTTGCTCCTGCTTTGGTCCAAAGCCTCTGCTGCTGGAGTCAGCTTCACACGTGGGCATCTGGCTTGTTGGCTGTGGAAGGTGAAGGGCCAAAGCGTGTTTCTGATGATCTGACAAATACTTCAGCTCTAAAGCCAAGAGCTGCCAGAAGCCAGGGCAGATGCATTGCTGCAGTGTTATTGAAGGTAAATGACATGTTGGATTTTAACCCTGTGGTGTTGGGCTCTGGGCTTTCCAAAGGCCCTGGCAAGCTGTGCAAAGGTGTGATTCAGATGTCCCTGGGCACAGGATGTGCTGTGGAGTGGGCTGGGTCCATCCTGCCCACAGGCAGGGAGCATGGGGCAGGTTCCCAGCCCCGTGTGGCCTCAGGGCCAGGCAGCTGCTGCCGAGCGCGTCCCCTCGCCGATGCCGGCGGCAACGTGATCCTTGTTTGCTGCAGCAGCTGGCCTGGGCGGCCGTGTCACGTCTGTTTTCTTCAGCAGCGGGCCTGGGCGGCCGTGTCACGTCTCCTCCAGATGCTCCCAGATAACGACGTGCGCAGTCGCCCTGCGGTGCTTCTTGTCATTCTTGTCACCCTTTTTTTTTTCTTTTCCCCTTTTTTTTTTATTTATTTATATTTTTTTCTGCGAGAAGGTTCTTGGTTGGCGTGCAGCTGTGGAGAGATGCTGGCTCACAGGCTGGTGGCCAGAGCACTCAGGTCCTTGCACCTCCAGCAGCTCCTCCTGCCACCTGGCCCTGGTCCGTGCTTCCCTTGTTCCCCACCACTCAAAACATTCTCGCTGTATTGCCCCTGGGCTGTGCTTTGCACAGAAGAGCAGTGCCTGGGGTGCCATAGTGTTCTTTTTGGTTCTCAAATCTCCCAGTGTTGTCCCAGCACCTCCCCCCTTCATTTTCTGGCTGCAGGACGCTGCCCTGCTCTCACAGAGCAACCTGTGCCTGGGGCACAGCAGCCCCCAGCTTGGCTGCTCTTGCCCCACATCTGTGAGGAAAAACCATCACAGCAGCACCCACCGGCCACGGCAGGGCTGCAGAGCCCTCAGATTTGGGATAGGCTCCCTGGGGGGGTCGGGGCGC